AAAAAAAAAAAAAAGAGTAATACTGAAGTCTCTGAACAAGCCTGCAGTGTTTTGTTTTTCCTTTTACCAAAGAGGGAGAAGATTCAAGAAAACAAAGGGGACCCYGCCTTCTCAGTTAAGTTTTTAGAAAGTGTGTTCAGAGCATCAGGGGTTACTTTCATCCATAYACCCCAGAAAAACCCACTCTCCTTGTGATGAAGACAGGGTACAGATCAGGGACAGATCTTCCCTTCCACACAAAGCAGTGCTATGTCCACACAAATATGGATCCTGCAGCCAAAGCAAGCTACCCCATGGCTCTCAGGGTGGCAGCTTGCCCCCAACAAGGACCTTCTCAGCCWCTAGCAGCACCACTTATTCTCTCAAATCACAAGTTATTTTTCACCTTTGTCAAATACTGAAACCCCAGAAGTCACCTTCTTCATTATGGTATCAGACTGAAATACCCAATATTTCTTACCATGTGTCACTTGCCCTCCACATTTTTGTGGTCAGCTAAACAGTTTAACAAGACGACACATGATKAACTTCTTTCAAGATATTTTAGTTCATTGATTCTTGTTAAGAGCACTGGTTGCAGTACAATAGTTTAACATACAGCAACAAAAGGTACTCAATTTACATGCACAAGCTATTTAATAATAGTACACAGTCTTTCCTATTGCCATTATTAAACAAACACTACTGTGACAGCTGGCACAGCCTTCCAATTGTTCTCATGAGCTGTAAGAGAGTGATGAAAACAGTCTTCCAATGGTACAATGCCAAAGAACAGARATTTGGCCACTGCTAGAAGATTCCAATCAAGATACCAGTATCATAATAGGAAACAGTGTTGAAATAATTGTAAAAACAGCTACAAAAGAAGCTATGCAAAATTGCTTTCACTTATACTTCAGTTTAAGAAAAATGTGGGAAATACATACRGCTTTGTATGGAAACAAAAGTGCATGGAGAGGCAGAAAAGTTAAAAGTTTAAGGCAAGACAAATGTGTGGATGAGTAAAAAAACTYCTGAACATTGAAGTACTGTAAACCAGCAGATATCTATTGGGGAAGGAGTGCATAACTGCCCTTCTGGATTGTTTTTGTGGGTAGGGGTTTTTTGTTGGGGTTTGTTTTGTTGGGGTTTTTTTTTGTTAGAGTTGTGGTTTTTGTTGTTGTTATTTGTTGTTTTATTTAATTTTATTTCAATAGAGCTTCCACCTTTAAAGTGCAAGCCAAAACTCTACTGCACTTGTGTTTGTTGCTTGGCTGAGTTTTCATTCAGTTTTACAGCTTGGTCCAGATTTTCATGGTTTAATATGCAAAGTATAGCACACTCTACYAGGACTACTCATTCCAAGCTTTCAACACCTGCTTTTCAAACAACAGATACAACAGTGTCACCTTCATTAAAGCCAAAGTCTCAGTATTGCTATTAAAGGGCTTCTAGAAACGAGAACAGAGAAGTCAGATTTATGACAATGAGCTCTGTAAAACACATACGTYACAATAAGACTTTTCCTATAGCAAATAAAAATCAGCAGGGGACTTGATTTTWTTTTAAACATTTCTTTCCATGTTTCAGAAGTGCTAGCAATTTCAGCAACAAAACTTTCAAAGCACCCTGGCTGTGCCACTTTTTAGTGGCTTTTCCAAATGGTATTTAAACAGGTAAGAAACCTTCTTCTCTAAGGGATAATTAGCAGTTTAGCATTATCTTATTGGCAATTCAGATTCTGAAATATTATGAATATTCAATAGTTTTCAACATTTTATTCATAACCATATAAAAAAGCACAATTACATGGTCTATAATACACCAAGTAAGACTGCAAAAATAAAACTCAGAAAACTAAAAAGGCCTCAATTCTCCTATTATTGTTGCTTGTTTTTTACTAACTGTCTCACAGAAAAAAAAAAAAAAAAAGTACCAAAGGCTTAATCTTTAAATACAAAGGTATCATCATCAAATCAGGTCCTCTAATCCAGACTGATGGTACACTTATCATTTCAACTGAACTASTCATCACAAACTTGCAATGCCAGCACTCATTCATACCCTGAACTGTTCCCTGGCCTCATCCACTCAATCAACTATTCCCATCCTTATTTTAAGCAGGACAATTAAAAAAGTTGCTTGTGGTTTTGAAACAGTTGGTCTGAATTCTTTAATACCACACTCAAAACACATGAAGACAAATTTAAGGATATTTCAACTCAATTCTTAAAACACTGTTTAGAAAGGAAAAAATAGGCATGAATATGGAACTACAGAAGGTGTCAAAACACCAGTTATAAATGGACTTGGTAGAGAGCCTACACTGGAAACACTTACCTTGTCAAAGCATCAACACGATCATCTCAGAAGATAATTCAGAGATACTTAAGTCAGAATTGTGAAATAAGAAACTATACTGTCAAAGGTCACTGAAATACCTGATCTAGGGCAGTGCAAAATGATGGCTGGTGAGAGGCAACCAGTCACCTTGCAAAGTGAGTGACTTCAAATTACTCATCACTGACCTTCTTAATAATCTGCATTGAAGGACCTGATGAACACCAGTGATATTTCTGTCATGCAATTACAACTGTTAAGCAACCAATATGCAACTCAAAAGTGATACTGTCATCCATGGTGGACTATTGAATTAATAATCCATTAAATAATAAGTTCAAAGGGGAAAGTGGTAAACATCTCGCCATAAGTGAAAACACTTCAAAAATTTACAATTAAATAAAAAGTTAGATGATATCTTATAAAAAGAAGTACTGAACACAACAAGGCCACAATAAATTAGTGTTTCCATAAAATGACATGCTGAAGGTTTTGTTCCCAAGTCTATACATTGTTTACTGTCTGTTAATTCCTAAATATTGACAGCATAATTGAATAATTGAGGTACAGTAGTTTACATTTGTATATGTCTTGTAAAAACATTATTTTTTTTCTTCCAGTTTTTCTTCCTCCTCGCCAAAGAACAACAAAGGAAACATTCCTAAAATGCAGCCAATGGTCACTCCAATAGCTTTACCCTAAAGAAAGGGACAAAAAAAAAAAGTTTTTCACTGATCAGTTGGTTCTGATCCCACATACCAAAACAACCAGGAACATACACCCTTGTTTTAGTTTTTAGTTGGGAGTCACGCTTTTCTTAGCATGCAGACTAGAAACACAGTCAGTGAGAGAGAGACAGATATGACAAGGTTAGAACCAGTRTTTGCTGTGATAAAAAACAATTCTGAAGAAAGAGGAAGGCAATGCTCATGACGAACTGCACAAGTGTTAAGAACTAGCAAACATAGCAGAATGACCAGGAAGTCAGGAAAGAAAAAAACAAAACAAAACAACAAACCACCATACAGCACCTACACACAYTTTAGGTGCAATTATAAATGCATCTGCTTGTATCTGGTACTGCAATTCATCGAAGGCAGGAATGAGTGGCTCCTTGCAAACATGATGGCTTTCAAAGGCACAAAGCAAAACCAATAAAAATAGGAAAATATTTCAGAATTTATCTGAATGTGTAAGTCCAGAGGAGAGGAAATAAAGTAAGACAAGCAACTTCCAAACCACATCACTGCAGTAGGTGGACAGTGCTGAAAAACTTGAGACAGCAGGTAAAAAAGAAAAAAATGCTACCATACAGGCAAAGGTGCATAAGAGGCTTTTCACAGAAAAGCCATGTGAACGAACTGGAGTGCAATGACAAGATTTTGCCAYAGGCTCAGCTTTCACTGAGAAGAGTCTTATATTGGACAGACTATGGGGTAGCCTCGTGACAATATGCCAGCTCTTCTCTACTCAGTGTTTTGATTTATCTCTTCTAAAACCAAACTTTTTTCTCCTGTAACCTTTCCTCAGCTATTCTCTTCCCTTAAACCTGCACAAGCATTTTTCCCAATGAAGGCTCATTCTGGCAAAGTGAAATAAATATCTGTTTCTTAACTCAGTTTCTGATAATTAAATGAACACTCTCATTGCTGAAGTGGGACCACTTCAAATGTTTAAATGTGAAGTAAGTAATMACTCTGAGAATGAATCTGCAAGATGAGTGTCCCATAACTGTAAACACAGGCAGTGAATATTACTCAAAYGCTAAAAATTTGGCCAGGGGAAAACTAATTTTCTATCCAAGTTAATTATAGAATATTAGAAATGAGTACATAGCAGCACAGGTTTATGAACAGCAAGCACTTGGCAAAGAAYGTAGAGGAGAAAAGTACTAAGGGGTCGTAACTTCCAAGTAAATTATCTTATCATAGCCAGAGCTCAATCCAGGTTATCTGCACAGCATACACAAAGTCATTGCAGAGACTATCCACATCACTAGTCACTTGGGGCTTGCTGCATACAAAAAAACACTCAAGCCCAAAAATATCCAGTCTCATGACTCCCCCTGACATGGGCTCACAACTAAACCTTCTGGGGAACATGCACAATGTYGGTGATCATTAAGGATTCAATGGAAAAGGTGACAAAAAGTATTTATCAGCTAGTTTAAACAGAAAACACTCCATGCCAGCATTGCTGCCCACAAGATACTCACCAAGTGTGCACTGAGACGCGTCTGCCACATGTCAGCTTGTTTGGGTGTCAGGTCAGGGATTGACAGACCCAATCGTGAAGCCAAAGCTTCTACATAACCTGCAAGACTGGAAGAACAAGAAAAAGAAACAAAATTATTTTGAATTTCACTGTATCTTCTAGGGAGGGTTTTGAAATACTTGAACTTAAAAACAATATCTTTTCCTTCAGCATACTAATAAAGTGATTGAGAGAAAACTATGGGAAAGAGTTCAGAATTCTAAAGGTCATGTTTTGCAACGTAAGTTAATTATCTCACTGATTTAATATACAGTATTTCCAGGAAATCTTCATGCAGTACAACACAACTGGCGTGAATGTTAATGCATTTTTGCAGAGCTTTTTAAGCAACCTTTACTGGAGGAAAGGTCACACACAGACTAGTTAGTGGTAAGCCTTGTAATTGCAGAAAACAAAACAGAGGGAAAGTGGGAATAACAGGCATAACAAACAGCTTTACTATCAGCAGTTATGCAGAAATTTCCTTAAAAACTAAAATAAGCTGTATCTGTTTTTATCAGAAATAGGTATCCCTAGACTTGAAGACATTGCAGAGAGATTGTTTTAGCTGAGGAGAAGGAAACATCTTCAGATCTGGGGAAAACAATCTGAGGAGGTGTATTATGCAAAGCTGTATTATACTACAAAAAAAAATCCATTTTGTGTCTCAATGAATGAACTTCACATTCTTAATACAAGTTCATACATACCCCAGTCCAGCTAAATCTGAAACAAGGTTTCCCAAAGCRGCAGCTGGAGGGAAGAAGAGGGAAGAGGAAAAGGTAATACTTTAATTACAAACAAAACAACCAGGTCCCACTCCACAGTAGTTATCACTTAGTTTATATAGAATAAAGACTAGAACTAAGTTCCTTTTATTTTAGTATTTTTATTCTGACCTTATTACAGTTTAGTAACAGCGGCAGACTAAAATTAATAGGAGGTGCAACTATTTTTCAAAATTTACACRGAGAAAACTTGACAAATAAAAAAGACAACACTAATGCCTGAAAATTGACATAACTTCTGAGACCAGTGTTCAGAACATCTGTGCATGGTTGCCAGCTCCATGCAGCTGATGCTAGACACCAAGCAAGACCTTCGAGGGCCTGAAGAGGCACAGGAGCATTGGAAATAGAAGGAGCTGTCACTCAGTTATGCAGCTTTGATAAGCATGTCAACATATCCATGAACTGTATCAATTTAAGAATAAATACTGCACATGAGTGAACAAAATTACACACAAAATACATGATTCCACAGCAGACCTTACTGAGATAAGTTTGCCTGTGACTATCTCACAGTGAACCAGGGACTGCAAATTTCCGAATCTTTAACTCACTCTGCTGTAACATTTTCAGTTAAGCTCTCCCTCCTCGTGCTTTTGAGCAATGCTGCACCTGCAGCAGATCCAYGAGCAGCTCTGCACCCTCTGACACTGCAGGGGCACCAAAGCTGTTGAGCAGAGCCTTATCAGTTTTGGCCAGTGCAGGAGCAGGGTGGCTGCTTGGCCTTCCTGTGGTATCTCACCAAGGCAGAAGAGCCACCAAGAAGTGAAATAAAAAGATCCCAACACTGATCTCCACTTTGCACAAACAGCAACGTAGTAATACCTATATACATACATCAATACTGGGCCCTAGGGAGTTTAGAGCAGTTCCATTACAGAAATGCAAATACACTTTCTCAACTGACCCAGGATTTGAATTATTAGGTTGAAACCGACAACAAGCATTTCAAAAAGCTATTTGAACTGAAATCCCATTTCTGCAAATGGAATATGTCCTTGCCTCACCCAGAGGTTGTTTCATTAGGAAAGGCAGCTGCAAGACAGGAAGAGCCATTTCCAGCTCTGTGTGCTACTTTCAGCCTAAAATATAGGAATGTGCCATATTAGTCTAAATGTGCTGCATTTTTAATACTTGCCTGCCATAGTTGAAATTCCTAAGACAACTCCAATTGACAATTCTATTTGGGTTCCCTGAAAAATAAACAGTTTTCTCATTATTTGAGGGATTTGGAGTTAAAAAAAATTATAGTGATACAACTGACAGAAGTATTGTTTACGGCTTGTCTATTTTAAAAGTGAAAGGATGAAAGGACATTTCTTCTATTAGATCACACAGATCCTATCTTCCTGGCATATATATTTTCCCCTAAGACAAGAGCCTGCTTCTGAAATTCTTCTCATATTTCATACTCTTGTAGCAGGCAGCTGGTAGACAAACCTGCAACCCCTATCCCTGCATACTATCTCCCCCACTACAATTCTTAGCTGAATGCACAGTTCTCAATGAAAACTTCTACAAATACTGAGCAAACAAAACACAGTATCACAGCTCCTTACATTTTCAACTGAAGAAACAAAAGCACATGGACTGCACTATGAAACAGCAGTACGTGGTCCAAAGATATGAGACAATGTGCATGAACTAAAACAAGACATGTTCTGGTTGGATAGAGCAAAACATTTTGCACTGCGAGGACAGCTGAGCATTGCAACAGGTTGCTCAGACAGGCTTCCTTTGGATTTCTCAAGTCCCACWGGACAAACCATTAACAACTTGGTCTCATCTTACAGCTGGTTCTGCTTTGAGCAGGAGGTTAGAGACCTTGAGAAGGTCCTGAGCAGGGGGACATTCTAGACTRGATCTCACAGACCAGTCTATTATGTTCTCTTGTAAATTATGAATCTTACAGACTGGATCAAGGAATTAAACAATGAACTTACCGCAGCAATCATAATTGCATTATCCAAAAATCCAAACCCTACAAAAGGTAATGCATTGTGGAAGAACACTAAAAGAAATAAGTAACAAAGAGAAAAATCAATATTTATGAGCGTTCACTAGCACTGGAACAAYTGAAATGTCTAACACTGGCTTTAAGAGAAGCAAAAGCAACATACACAAAATTTCTTTCCTATTAATTCTACTGGTGACCTTTTTGTTGCTGTTTGATGTGGTCAAACCCTTTGCTACAGAGAAATGTACTAATGGCTTGTGAAGAACCAGGTAAAGCAACTTATTCTGGTAACAYTTGTACAATTTCAGATGGAAGCCTACTAGTGCATAACAGAAATATTTAAAACTACACAAACTCTGRTATTATTTACAGACCTTCCAACAAYGTTGCACTATTACTGAAGATCACCAGACTGTCTCACCAGACTCCCTGCATTCTTCTCTTGCTTGAAATAAAGTCCCTTTCTCTGCAAGTCCCTCACTATTTCTGTGCAAGAACTCCATCTTCTTCACACATTCCTAAAAATCCATATTTTAAAAGCATTGTCTGGTGCTAGATGATTCTTGTCAAAAACTCCATCAGCCAAATCTGCAAATGCTAACGTGATTTTCACTAGTGTGTCATATACTGTTAATTACCTGACTATTTCAGCTACATCTTCTATGTCTTGATTGTTTGTGCACTGTCCTCAGAGCAAATTAGACTTGYAGTTGCTCCTTAACACACTGCTTAAGAAATCAAGTTTCACCTTTTGTTTCATGCATTTTCTTCTTTTTTACTTCTGAAATCCATTAAATCCTTTTCAAAAATATTTTCTATTGCAGAAGCTTGGAATATGCTGGTCTGAGTAATTACTAAGAATGAGCATAGTGCTACTGTATCATTCCTTTTTATCCTGCTTCATCTTCTCTCTCAGGTTTTAGATTGCAAGCTTTTGATGGGGTGAGATTGAATTTGCACAGCACTGCCTCCAGCTGAGTTTCAAGGTGCTCACTTGATAAAACTAAATACAGCATGAGGACAAAATACATGACAAAAATACAGCTTAGTTGAAAATGTTCATTTTTTTAACATTTAAAATGCAGCAGATATTCAGTTTGGATTTGGCTGGAGTTTGGGGTTTTTTTCCACTTCAGAGTGGACAATAATTCCTACATTTTATAAACTTAAAGACATGCAAATGTAGGCAGAGGGAAGAAAGAAGAATGCATGAACCTYGCAGTTATGTGTAAAGAAACTGGTACCAGTACCTTTTAGGTTTCCTTCCTGCAGACAGTATGAATCCATGACCACAAAAAACCAAAGCCACACTCAAAATCTTTCATGCTTAGGTACTAGAACATGAATGGACATCTATAACTACTTTGTAAGAACACACCTGTCCTCTAAACTGTACAGGTAAAAGACTACAGCACAAAGAGTATGAAAATTTCCTCTTTTTTTTAACTATCACAGGACAARCCCACCAAAACATAGATAACAAAAAAAGCACACAGATATGCCCATTATTTTGCAAATGTGTATACCAAACCCTGGAGGTAAAAATGGAGCTCACATTCTTAGTGAAATGGACAGAATTTTGGAATTCATGGAGCAAACAGAGCCCCAGGGACAAAGGGGGAAAAAAAAAACCCAAAACAGAATAAACGTAGATACTTAGAATAGGACAATGTTTGCCTAAAAAATTTGCTCAGTGGAGAGTATAAAATCACAAAAATACTCTAATTCGGAAATGAAATCAGAATTTGAACCATCACAGTATTATAAATATACAATCAGTTTCCAATTTCTCTGCAATTTTATACCACTTCTCAGTCCTTTTAAAACACAAAACCTCCACGAGGTACTGCAGCATCAACACTGCTTGGCTTAGAAAAACAACGTTGGCTGCTGGCTTTGAACTGCGTGCTCTCATTTGGGCTTTCTGTCCTACTTTCACTAAGTGATGCACATTCTCCAGCCGAGGTGTTATGAAACAAAGGCAGYAGGGTGAGTGTTGGTGCTTGGTTTTTGATTTTCTCTGACTCCATACAACATGGATGAGGACGGACCAACACTTGTAGAACAAAGATGAGGGCAATTCAAAGAGAGACTGCACAAATACTGAACCACATTCAATAAACATTCTTCTTTTACCATGTCTCAGTTGTCCTGGAGATGGTGGTGCAACCTCCAACTTCTCTAGAGAAGTCAAAATGAAATGAGAAAGTTAGCTGCTTCATCACAAATTTGGTTTATYATAAAGTCTTTACCAAATCACTAGCAGGCAAAAAAGCAGTTATRTAATTTAACAGTTTTCAAATGGGAAAGAAAAATATTTCACACCTACATTTTTATTAYTTTTACAAAAGATAACACAGTATTACAAGCCAAAAACTCTTAGAACATTACAAGCTTAAAGTAGTATAAGTGATTATGCAAATGAACAGCATACTTCAGAAGCAGCCCAACAGCCATTTTTACTTGCCAATTACAAAAACACACTAAAATTAGAAAATTGTATGTYATTATTTTTTTAGAGGTCCTCTAAACATGCAGCAATCTTCTTTCCCCCAGAGAGAGTCTGCAAAAAAAAATCCTACCATTTATATTATCAAAGAAGGCATCTTTTCATGGCAATATAAGAATAGAAGAAAAAAAGTGATTCATCAGAACCTACGTCTGAGCAGCGCAGACTAGAGTGAGTATTCTTGCATCCAAGTCACTCTCATATTCAAAGGTATTGTAAAGAAGAAAATAAAATATTCACTYAAAGTAATTTTGATGAAAAGAAGTTAGATCATGGTACCAGTATTCACCAACCAGGACACTGACTTACAAAATAACTTCAGTAATTGAAGGTCTTTAACAACTTTCAAGCTATAGTAGTTCCTGAAGGGGTGCTTCTTCCCTCTGTCCAATATATATATATACCACCTAAGCTCTGCAAACACCAGTTGTATTCATCATTCAAGTGGGACAAGTATAGCCCAAATACTACAGAAATAAAGACTATTTTGCTTTCCCCTAGACAATGCCAAGGAATTCAAGATTCAAAAGTCAGGCTGGAAGAGAAACATAAGACTGTGCCATGATAAACAAAGGGGAGCCCTGTGAGAGACAACCTTCTGAAACCTCAGGCACTGACAGCCAGAAAATGTCAGACCAAAATTTTCAGCTTGTGCTCAGGAAGGATAGGATTGGGGAGGGGACCAATTTTCATATGGTCTCCTTCTGTCCTCACAGGTTAAGCAAATCTTTCATAGAAGCATGGACAAAGAAAGAACAATCTACACATACCAGTACTGCCCTTTGGGCAGCTTTTCTCAGAGACAGTAAATTCCCACAACACCAGGGAAAATCAAAGCCACATTTAAACAATGAGATTAGCTGAGGTCACTGTTTCTAAAAGCTCCAGATGCCCTGAGGGTGGCCAGGCAACCCAAGTCAACTCCCTCACATTCCTAAAGCTTCCCTAAACCCATTTGCTCCATCCTGCTGAATGCCAGGGAGAGAATAACACCCCAAAAACCAGGAACACAAGCGAAGGATGTTACAGAGTGCTGCCCTCCATGGCTTTCTGCTCTGACCGGAAGCTATCACACCAACCACTGTGGTTCTTGGGCTTCCTGTGGCGCTGCCACTGAAACCACCCCTGCTGCTGTGCCATCTWGTCTTTAGATCTAGGTCTCCAAATACAAGAATTTTGTGATAAGAAACTGTAACAACATAAACAAATTTCCAGGAAACACTCTACCTCTGAGGAACACATCATCGTTTTCCCTGATTATGACAGCCAGTTAGGTTAGGTAATTACCATCTATTTTGGGTACCAATACAGAATACAAAAGACTATYAGCTTGTCACGAGATACTACTCTGGATTTAACTACAACTGAATTTGATAGCACCTGTCARTCTACACAGTCTAGACAGCTATTAAAAAAACGCTAAAAAAAAAACCAGTGCAAAACTGATTTGAGAAACATAGTACCAAAAGGAAGAATTAAGGGTGTTTAGAAAAAGAAATAAAAATGTCTTACATCTAGGAATARTGGAAGTTCCAAGTCACAATAACTAAAAAGAACATGAACTCCTCCTTCAGAACATACATCAAGGACTACCTTGGGACTAGCTTCAACACMATCAGGGCAAAAGAGGTCACCAGGGACAGTGCCACATGGTGGCACAATGCTCTGGAGGCCAGACTGCCCCTCATCAGCCACAGGGAGCTCATGTCAGTAACGGTGTCTTCCTGCTGCACATCCAAGAACTTTATTTCATAAAAGGCAGTTGTATAAACTCATCTGGAAGTATGCCTGGCTTACAGCTTCCCTCACCATTAAGATAAAAATTAATCTGTTAAAAAAATATGTGATTACACATATTAATGAGACAGGGATAGAAGTCTGCCAGATGAAGTTCAGATAACTGATGCTGGTGAACCCTGCACATGCCCTGGACACGGAAGCTCCTTCTCTGCCTGAGCCAGGACAGAGCTGGAGAGAGAACCTCATTCCAGCCCAGCACAAAGCAGGGCCAAGTCAGACCAGGGTACTCAGGACCTTGTTCCACGGCAGGACCAGGCTCATGGGAAAAGCTGTCCCCTATGGAGCATCAAAACCAGGCTTTAAAGCACAAAGGTGACTTCCCTGAGAACTGATACTTTGCCTCTGCCAGGTACAGAGAACTTCCTGCTGCAGGGAAGGGGCTGCTCCAGCTCAGCTCGACTTGCAGAGGAGTAGATTAGTGAAAAGCTGGGACGTAAGAAGGAAAAAAAAAATTAGAGCAATAAAAACCCCCAACCACTGTGGCAGGAAAGCCAAAAACCTTTTTATAGAATCACTTCCAATACCACCTCTTTAAAGCATAAYATACTTGAAAACTCTGGAAGATATGAAAGCGCTGAGAGCCAAAAAAATTCTTTAAACCAATTTTTTAAAACTCTAGATARCAAAATATATTTCAGAATAGGGTAGTTATTAATAGGAAGTTGTTCTGACTATTTAAATTTTCAAGACTCAGCAAAAAACAAGAATAAAAATATTCACAGAGTACAGCAAAGGAAACATGCCCTTTGCTTGTTTTACCAGAGGGAAAACAAAAATCCAAATCACAAAACTGCCTTCCAATAACTCAATTCCGTCAGAACTAAACAATTCAGAGCTTAAATGTCTGGGGGAAAAAGAAAACAACTCTCAAGTACTCCAGAACTGCCTTTCACCCGYTCATCCTGCACCACAATGCTCAATAAGACACTAGAATTCATCTTCTTGCAGAAGGAATAAAGTGCAATGGTGGAATGAGGAATATTGCTATTTTCTAGCTGACATTCATTACCATAAATGAGGTTATAAACCAAGGTTCAAGTGCAATACATGTCATGAACCCTGAATTAGCRAAGTCTCTGAAGCAGAAAAAAATTTACTGCTTCTTAAATCTATTCTTGATATTTTTTGAGTTTGTCATTTATTTTTTTTTTCCAACTATTTTTTAGAAAAATACTTAGAATCCGGGGAGAACGCAGGGGTTGGAGGAGGGAAATATAAAACCATCAACATAAATAATACCATCATCCACAAATTGGCCTAAACCCAGCAAGTTAAATTCCCTCTGCCAACTGTAGCCAAGTACATGCAACTTAGCTTTAGGTATATTATTATTCT